AATTATATCATTTTATGTTAGTTTTGCAAGAGGAGTAATCTTTGATGGGGCCCAATAAACCCCCGTTTGTGACCCAATAAATAAGTAAAACGTGATGAATTATTATAAAGTTATGTTGCATCAATATAATTAAATGTACATTTTTTTCTTGTACTTACGTGTAATACCGACGATCGATTTCACAGAAAACTATCATTGTAAATAGCAGTCACAGTTTATTCCGCAGACACATTTTGTTCTCATAATCTTTCAAATAATCAAAAAATATTTCCAGATGAATGCAAATACAATCGGACCTCTATATAGCGAAGTCGCTAAATCCCGGAAAAAAGTTCGCTATATGGAAAATTCGCTATACAGAGGTCATCTTTTAATATACTTTATAAACCACATAAAACAAATTTTAAATTCATAAACACTATGTATTAAAAAAAAGTAATCATTCACACTTTTTTTTAAATTAATGCATGTTTATTTTATATATCTTACCCATCAAAAAAAGAAAGAAAGAAAGAAAAACTGCAAGAAAAAAGAATTCTCTGTATCTTCAATATTAAGAAAATAATTTTATACTAAAATTAACGAATTTTAAGGACATTTTCTAATTTAAAGCATACAAGTTATAATAAGCATACATTATTTTATAACTAGAACACGGAGAACGGGACAACTCCACTGAGGTTCTGGGATATCTAGTGTTTCTAGTGAACTGTGTGGACAATGGGGGTTAAAGGTTGCACTTCTTGGATGAAACGTCCAGGTCAGAACTTTGTTGCTGTCGGCAAGTTAGGATCTAATAAAACCAGTTCAAGATTTATGACCACTATAAAATGTATTAAAGAGAGAATAACTTGGAAATGTTCAGAAATACCTTAAAAATAGGGAGAAAAAAATTAAATCACATAAGAAAAAGTTCGTTATATAGAAAATACATTTCGCTATAGAGAGATTATTTTACGAAGAAAATCATGAAATGTTCAAGGTTCCAGGAAAAAATTCGCTATATAGAAACATTCGCAATATGGAGAGAGGTTCGTTATATAGAGGTTCGACAAAAATATACAAAAATTAAATACATATTAAGTTTAACTACCGTCGATTATGCATCACACAATTCTTTTCCCCGATGGAACAAACATATTTAAAATATTTCCAAAAGATGCCAACTTAAGAAGCATAACATTAACAGCAAACGATTATATATCATCAAATATAACTTAAGTAATCTGATAAATAAGAGTTATATAAATTATTGAATTACAGCAGACGATAATGATATGGAAAATAATTTCTAACCTTATCTACTATATTGTTCGAATTAATGAGACAAATTTAAAAAAATCGATTTTTTTCAAGACCCTTAGCTTTTAATCATTACATACCTTCAGTAGATTAAAACTCTCTGCATTAGTACGAAGTATGTCCTCCTTTAGCAGAAATGACCGTTTCAACATGTCTTGGTATTGATTCCTCTAGTGCAGCACACATGTTCTTGATTTCATCATTTTAGAACCACGCTTGTATAACACTTTTTATCATTTGTTCTGTTGTCGTGCAATTCATCTTAGCTAAATGATGCTTGAGAATATACCTTAAGCTAGTTCTCAATAAGGTTTACTTCTGGTCAATTACCAGGCCAATCAAGTACTTTTATTTAGTTTTCCTGCCTAAAAGTCTGGAATAATTTCAAAGTGTGATAAAGGGCCAAGTCATGTTAAAATGTTCAGTCAAATATTTCCATGAATGGAACAATCTACTACGTAATATCTCTATGTAATTGACAAAATTCGACATGCATTTAAGAGGAACTAAGGTTCCAGTGCCATTTGTTGTGAAAAATTCCAAAATATCTGCTTAGAAGGGTGTTTTACAGTCCATGAGGTTAATTCATGTGACGTCATAGTCACATGATAGTGAAAGCCCGTGATTCTAGCCAATCGATTCAAAAACTCATGTGACGTCATAGTCACACGATAAAAACTATCTTGTGTTTCCAACTAATCAGTTGACGCTCTCCGGTGTTGCCAAGTGTTGCTCTCTTTACAGAAACTTTCTCTTAAAAAGTACACATGTATACAAAATGCATTTTATTTGAAAGTATAAGCATAAAATACGACTTTTTTTTAATTTAAAAAAATCTTTTTGAAGAAATTTTTCCTTAACATTTAAACATCTTTACCCAAATATGAAATTTGAAATTTTATCTGAGTTTTGCAAATAGAACAAGTACAATTAGGTTAATGTTTGTTTTGAATTCAATGGAAAACACGTGTTTGTTTTTATCATGTGACTTAATGAATCAAGCCCTTTGGATATGATCTGGTAGCAGAGTTTCACCATCACTTCTAGATATACTTGATTTGTATTCCTGGACAAATTAATATGTTTCATGACTGAGAAAATTATCTTCTTTTAGTCATTAATAGTCTATGGTCTGTATTTATTGGCTTTGCTAAACGTTTTTTCATCATTTTTTTGAGTTAGAAAATGTTTTTCCTCGGTCTTGTAACCTTACGGTCAATTTCCATAAGCCTTTCCGGTACAGTTGTGCATGTGTGAGGTACTTATTTCAACACCTTAACCCAATAAATCCCTTCGAAGGTCTGTGATTATCTTTCTTCGATTTATTTTTCTTATAAGAATTTTATTAGTTCTTAGAGTGGTTTTCCGTTTTTGCCGACATTTTAACTTTTCTTTTTGGAAACGATGATCTGGAATCCTGAAATGTTCTTAAAATTCTTGAAACACTTGATTTGTCCATTCCAACTGCAGTAGCTATATCCTTCACAGTCTTAACCCACGATCACTCGCGCGGGGTGTTCCGTACACCCCAGCTACAAAAAAAGCCTCCCAGGATTCTAAAAATAAGGCACAGAATCACAATTTTTTCTGTAGCTGCACATTTTAGGCCATGAACCTTCAGGCCTGATGGAATTCTTCTTTCTCGAAGGATTGGAATGTAATGACCTTCAAAAATTTATTTTGGGGGCTGAGAACTCCCGCGAGAAGTTGAGCATATGTATACAGTCTGCAACAAATGTTTGGAAAATGATTAAAATATTATTTTTCTATACTTTCTACTATCATTATCTCATTAAATATAAAGTATATTTATTACTGGTATATACGCTTTATATATATATACTGGTTTATGAAAAAATATAAAATTACGTGTTTTAAAATGAAAACTTTGTATGTTTAGTTTAAATTAATGTTAGTCTCATTTGTATGCAATAAATTTAATAATTTTATTTGTATAATACAAAAAATATCTTGTACTTTATAAATATGTATCATAATGACTTAATTTTATTTTCATAATTAAATACACGTGTTACAAGTTTGGGGTGTTTTTTACACCCCGCGAGTAACGAAGGTAGCAAAAACTGGCGCGAGTGACCGCGGGTTAAAAGTGCTTTCATTAAGAAATATTATATTAGGACGATTCCTCTCGGAGTAATATCTATCTTTGAACACACACACAAGCAAAAGTAACACTTGTTACGAGGAACACAAAATTATAACTACAAGCTGACATTGAAAGGCTCACAATTTAGCTACCTATGCACTAAAATCAATTAAACAAGTAAATTTTAGTAACTCTCGATCCTTCACACTACTTCGAGACAAATACAATTGGTTTGAGGCGATTCAAGTCATCAGTGATAATCACATACCAACTTAAACAAGAAAAAGGTGTTTGTCCCAATTAATTCGAACACTATAGTACAACTATCAGTCAAATATTCAATAAAAATTGGTTCAAAATAGAAGAAAAGATATTTAAGTAGAACTAAAAATATTTTACTATATGAAACATTCATATAATGCGCGAAAAAGATTATTGTGTATGTAACGAGAGGTCATATTTCTCTCTCTCCACCATTGGCGGATATCGGGCCATTTGGTGACATCTTTTCGATGTAATGAATTGGTTGACGGTATAATAAATAAGTACTATTTTTTTAACCACAAATTTAAATCTTTTCATTTAAAAATTTTTAATCCAGAAAATAAGTTACACATTGTAAAACATTTTTTAAAAAATATATCAAAAAAAAAAATTAAAGCATTATTTCTCCGCCAAAAAGGGGGAAATCTATAATTCTAGATGATAAATACTGATGCAACTTAAATTACATAACGGCAATAAATATATATATATATTTTTAACGCATCGTAAGAGAAAAATTGCTTTGCCATGATATAAAATTTCACGTAAGTAAAAATCCCTCCTGTGAAGCTGATAAAAATTTTGAAAGAAAGAGAATTCCAAAAGATTAATAGCTCTAGATCTTTCTTACTAGATTTTCTAAACTGACATAACTAAAAGAAAGTCATACTGAATCACTAATGACGCATTATCTCACAAGGTCTTAAAGAAACCTTAAAAGAACAAATTCGTCATGTTACAGGAATTCTGCTTTTTCTACTGCAACCATTTCACAATTTTAAGAGAAAAGAAACCTATTTTTCCACGGAGAGCGCCATGTATTTTTTCAACGAAAAGGTTGTACGCTTACAAGATATTTTAATTTTAGGTTATGAAACAGAGATGAAAAATTATACTAAAGAAGATACCACAGATTTTTTGCGGAGTGAATAGTGGTGGAAAGAAAACGACAAGTTTACACACTTTAGCCTAAGATTATTTTGGTTTATTAATATGATTTATTTTATGACTACATATTTATTTTTATGACTACACTAATCTAAAGATGATTGAATTTCTGGATTTAATCAAACTATTTTTTTCAATTCCTACTATTAGTTCATATATACATATATATTTAATTAAAATTTTCTGTCGTTTATAAAATACTTTCTATTCATCCATTCAAGCTCAAATACATTTTTTAAACTTGTAGGAGAGACCTTGATGTTAATACACATTTTCAAATATTAATTCATTAATTAAATTAAAAAAGGAATAAATAGTAAGAAACAAAAATAATAGTCCTACAGCATATACGTATACAGAAAGGAAAATTGTTCGTTGTGTCCTGTAGCGCAATGGCTTGCGAGTTGGACTTCTAATCCAAAGGTCGTGATTCGAATACGACCTGGGATGGCCTAATTTCTGAGAGAGAATGTGATTTCTTTTTTACTATACTATTTTATTAGAATAATTAAATTTAATGAATGGATAAATAGTAACAAGCAAAAAAAAAATTGTCCAACACCGTATATAGAAAGGAAAATGGAAAATTGCAAGTAAAATCGCTTTCTATTTAGTCAATGTTGTGATTCTGACATATGTATATACATATTTATAGAAATTGTATAACTATTTAATAAAAAGTAACTGAGAAATAAAATTTTTCTTTGTTGACCTAAGATATTTTATTTCCTAAGAATTGATTTAAAATTTTTTTGTTGTATCTAAAGAAAAATTACGTTCAAAAATTTTTAGGAATTTTTATAAAAGTTTATATAATATTGAAAAAAACCGCTGTTGTTTCTTTGAATAAATCCCGAGTTTCGAATGTTTTAAATTCGTTGAAGATAGCCTTGATTGAAACCTTTACCATCATTAAAATTTGATAAGATGTTGTTAATACTACGATGTTTCTTATTACCCTTTAAAATTTAGACAATGGGTAAAATTCAAATGGCGACAAAGTCACATGATAACTACAATCACGTGTTTTCAGCCGATCAATTCAAGCGCCTCGCTGTTGCCAACTTTTCTTTTCGCAGAAATATTCTTTTAAAAGTTCAAATTTCTGAGCAATTATAACACACATAGTAAGCAAAATACATTTGATTCAAAAGTACACTGTCAATATAAGAATTTCTTATTTATTTGTTTTAATTTTAAGAACTTTTAATTTTTTCTTAATTGAACATTTTACCCAATTATAAAATTCGAAATTTTATTTAAATTTTATAGATAGAACGAATATAAGTTTAATATATAGTTTTGAATTCAATGGAGAACATATAATTGCATTTATTATATAACCGTAGTGAATTTAACCCATTGTTTTTATATTTTATTATAACTATAACCTGCAACACACAAAGAAAAGAAAATGAGCTTTAGAACTACTAATTGAGTTTAAAAATTTCTTTATAATATGAACTTATATAAAATAATTTTATTGATTAATTTGATAAATGAATGTAAAACATTCTAATAAGTGCAAGACAAAAAGTATAATACAAATATTTAACATTTTACACTTGATCTGTCAGTGTAAGAAAAAAAAACCTCCACTCTCATTTAATTTATCAAGTTCACGTGACCGAATAATAAAAACCAGTGAAATAAGCAGAAAATCTGGCATGACTCAATCTGTTTCACGACGTATTTATATAAGCGTCTCGTTTTAAAACAATTGGGTTTTTTATTACTTTTTTAAAAAAATCCGTCTCACAAAAAGCAATTTAAATCGTCTGGTCTGTTCGTGGTATCTTTGACGACTAATTTTAAAAAAAATAGAATGAAACAAAAGAATAAACAGAAAAATTGAGTGGTGTGTTGGTAAATACAGAAATTATTTTTAGGACGTTTGAGTTTCAGGAAATAATATTGAGAGATGTCGTTTGCAGGAAGGCAATATAGTAAATCTGACCTTGATAATTTCTTTTATTTTTGTTTGACTTTCGAAATGACGTGATAAAAATTAGGAGTATTGTGAAATTTACAAAGTTGTTTCATGTACATTAGTTTTTTCTAGGAAAAAGGGTTTTGTAAAAAAAAGCTTTGTGTCAGCTTTTTAATTTTTTACTATGCTTTTACAATCGGTTCGATATTTTTAATTTTACTGTTTTTTATAACGGCAATTTAATTATCAACATGAAAGCTTCTAGAAATATAAAAATTTAATTGAATACAGATTTTAACCGATTTTTTCATTGATATTTTTGAATCGAAATAATTATTATAATTTTTCATTAAAGTTGAAAATTGGCAAGGGTAATAGATTTTTGGTAATGGACATATTTCAGTGCAACAGCCGCGTTTCGCCAATTGGCGCCAAATATGTGCCTTATAGGTAAGGTACGAGGTAACGCTAAAAATGTCATTTTGCGTAAAATGTAAAATCAAAAATCAACTTTTCTTTCATTTTTACTTTTTAAAATTGAGGTAATTAATATTTCGAAATTTGCTTTTGTTTTGATTTATGCAATAATTTTTAAGATGCTACGGATGTGTGCTTAAAACATTACTACTTCTACAAGAGCAAAACTTATGTAAATTTAAAATACACTTTCCACAAAACTATATTTTTAAGTTGATACAACTAATGCAGCAATTCTTAAACTGTGGTCCGCTAAGCCTCTCTAGGGTGTCCAAGGAGTCTTTCATGTAACGTTGAAAATTTCCTTGTTTTACAGACTCTGAAATGCCTCTTGGAAAAATTGAAAGATGTGCCATATTAGACTAGATTATTAAATAGCCCTCATGAAGAAACTCTACTAGAACTTGTGTTTTGATCAAGAATATTAAGTCGGGAAAAGATGTTCAAAATCTTGGGAGTCCGCGATGTCACCCTGATACATAAAAGGGGGCGTGGCAATTGAAAATTTAAGAAACGTTGAACTAATGTGTAATTTTTCAAGAACTACTTGCCCTAAATTTCTCACAAATGTATCAATCGTATTACCTAGAGCATAGGTGGGCAAATAGCGGCTTCTAATCCGAAGGTCATGGGTTCGAATTCCACTTGAGATGGCCTAATTTCTGAGAATGTGATTTCTTTTTACTATACTATTTTATTGGAATAATTAAATTTAATGAGTTAATAAATAGTAACAAACAAAAATATAATAGTCCAACACCCTATATAGAAAGGAAAATGAAAAATAGCAGGGAAAATCGCTTTCTATTTTGCCATTTAATAATGTGATTCTGTCATATGTGTATACATATTTATATTAATTGTAATTATTTAATAAAAAGTATCTAAAATAAAACGTTTCTTTGTTGGCCTAAGTAGGAATTGACTTTAAAATATATTTTTTTTTATATTACTTGTTTAAGTTGTTATTAGATTTTCTTTTTAAAGTACCGAAAAATTGTCGAAAATTCCTTGTTTGTAACTTTGATTTTCTACAACTTTAGCTGATAAATATTACTAGTCCACTCATAGAAAAATATTTAAAAAATGTATTGCAGTATTTATTTTATGAGTAAAAATGAAATATTCTATGAAAAAAATCAATTTTATAAAAAATTAAATAAAATTTCGTTAAGGTATCCGACTACGTTTGGAACCCTGACTTTAAAAAAGCGCATAAATGTATACTTTTAATGATATTTAGTGTCACTTAGATTATAATACATGTATAAAATTGTTTTAAGGACATTATGACAAAAAAAATTATTTAAATACAGTATTTTGGCAAAACATGAACTTAGAATAACCTTCTTTCCAAATTTTCTCCTTTTGTAAAACATGCTTCTATTGTATTAATATTTTGCCTGAATATAGTTCAGACCTTTGTACAGAGGCTCAACTATGATTTTTGAAAAATTCACATTATTTTCAGAGTTACAACCATTTGAAATAATTATTGGCGTATTTTCTTAAAATTTCTCCCTTCTGTTTTCGTAAAACATGGATAAACCGACTTCCAAGTTATGCACCTCAGAAATTCTAGTTGAGCCTCTGTACAGAGGTCTGAGCTGAATGCAAGCAAAATATTAATACAATAGAAGCATTTTTTACAAAAGGAGAACATTAGGAAAAAAGGTTATTCTAAGTTAATTTTTTGCCAAAATATTGTATTTAAATAAAAAATTTTTGTCGTAATGTCCTTAAAACAATTTTATACATGTATTCTAATCTAAGTGACACTAAATATCATAAATATTATCCATTTACACGCTTTTGTCAAAATCACGGTTCCGAACGTAGTTGGATACCTTAAAATTTTTAAATTTTTGAAGTCTGTTATGCAAGTATACATTATTTCTAATTGCACTTTTAAAAAAAGTTCTTCTAATCAGTATTGATAATGACATAAAATTCAGTAAATCTATATATAAAAAAAAGATGGAATAATTTATCTCTTTTGACCATTCTGAGTTAATATGAATATCAATATTATTTATATAAGACTCGAATTATTAACGGAATATGTCGTTGTTTTGAATACAGGCTTCAAGATGATATTGTAACATTGTATCTAGTAGCATCGAATATCAGAAAAGCTGAAATTGACCTCATCACGACTTCACCGCATGGCATTAATGTCCTTTATTGTTCTACACTTACTCCGCCTATTCATTTCCACTGTTTAACTTTTGGTTCCGACTGTTAGGCCATACAATCAAAAAGGCCTTACTATATAATTACTTTTTTCTATCTAATCACTAGTATTACTAACTTGCATTCCCAAAAAATTATATACTTCATACCTATCTCTCTTTCTCAACTTCCATATATGAATCCCTCTATTGTCAAACTAAAATGTATTTGATGACACTGCGTTACACACAGTTTTACCGAAGAATATTACGACTATAAAAGATCTTATGTGTGCTAAGGATTCGTGCATCATTGTCACCATCTTATAACAATGGCTCTCAATTTTTTTTTCTCAAAGAACTCTAATGATGGTGTTAAGCCTAATGTACGATTTAATAACTTTCACTACCGCAAAGAACATCTGAAATAAAACTCTTGAAATCGTGTTTTGTTGTTATAATTGTGATTAATAGCAACCAAAGTTTATATTCCACGGATACCTTTTATTTTTATCATCACTCAAATGATCAAAAAGATCTTTTGATGGTTTTGATAATAACTGAAAAAAAAACATACGAAAATTAAATTGTTTTAAACCCGCCCGATTTTAAATTGAATTCTTTTCTATGAACGAACAAAAACATATTTTGAATAATACAAACGATGCTGATTTCAGCAACATAACGTGGACAACAGACGCTTATATATCAGCAAATAAATTAAGCAATTAAATAAATTAGAATTACATGAATTATTGAATCAAAAAGCAAACGAAAAAAAATATGGAAGAGAATTTTTAACCTAAGCAATTTTATGTTTTGTCTGTAAAAAAATAGACAAAATTACCATAAAACCGGCGCCCCATCTATAA